CTCTTAAGAAGACGCCGGGGCAACCGTCGAGACGAACTTGAGTAGTCCAAGACAGACAGAGTCGTGGTGAGGAGAGAACCCAAATGAGATCTTTCCCGTCAAAGGCCTAATTCAAATCGGATTTCAACTTTCCAAAATTTCGAAAATACTGATATTTCTTATCATATTGCATCCGTGTGATCTCACTACGCGTGAAAGGTGCAAAAGGTGGAATATTCCATTTAAACACCCGGCAGTTACATTTGCAAGCTTAAATGATCATCTGAAAATGGGCGTAGTTAGAGCGTGAGAGCGGCAAATTGCGACTGAAGGCCACGCCAGCACGGCATCAGCGCAAACACCACTCGTATCAACGAGGCAAATGACACAGACACTCAACAAGGGGCTTTTGAGTGATGAAAACACCCACCTCCCTCAACAGCTCTCAAGATTGACCCAGGGTACAGTCGGCATGCTACGGCGACCAGATACGGTCGAGCACGCTAAGCACCCTCACTCCGCAGCAAAGCCGAGGACGGGTGCAAAGAGTACAAACTGTGATCTGTGTTACATAAAGGCTGACCGTTACATAAAGGCTGACCCGTTACATAAAGGCTGACCGGTACATAATGCATTTTTTGTGCTTACCAGAGCGGCACTCACAATTAACAGGCCAAGGCGATGCATTTCCACCGTCCAGCGGGACATGTTGTAACATGGTACAGCTGATACCTAATGTTTTCAAACTACACGGTCCGCAATAGCACAGCGTCCTTCGTAACATTATGTTTCTGTGGCGTAAAACGCGGCGAGGTTTACACTATTGCAAGAGCGAACAGTTTTTGCGAAAGTGTCAGCGGGTGCGCACGCCATAGATATAGATATGCCTGCGATTATTTTGACTTGACAAGTAACAATTACACCATTTAATCGTACTGTGGAAATACGCGAACTTTCAACATGTTACCATGTTACTGTCTGTCTCATCAAAACCCATGTGCTTGCGTATGCTTGCATGTGCTTGCGTATTGATAAACTTACCAGATGCTTCTTAAAAACTGCATCAATGCACGCGGGAATGCATTGGTTCATCATGGAAATTCATCCGTATGAACCTGCCAGTGCTATGGGCGCCGCATGACAAAACAGCCGGCGCGCCCCAAAACCCAAATCATCATCATCACCACCGAATCTGCCGGTTACTGCTTGTATCGACATACCATATATGGCACCAAAAGTAAGCGTAGAGAGTGTAGACGCGGATTACATAGCACAACTATTAAGCCAATACGACAAGGTCGATCATCGAAATCGTTTGGGACAATTTGTATCGTTGCTGCCGAGGTGAAGATTACAAAAAACACATTTAATAACCGAATGCTGCCCGCTGTGCGCAGACTTGGCTAACTTCAGAACACCACTGCCCTGACATAGCGGTTGCATATTTCTGTTAGGTGCTTATGTACCCCAGCTGTACAGTACAAATAGTACAAATAAGTCTCACAGCCTACACGCAATGATTATTTTTCCGCTATTATTGAATAAAATGTTTTAAATAAAGAGAAAACTCTGCCGTTTGGTCTCAAATAAGTCGACACCCGTTAGCGATAGACCCCCAAAACTTGAAATTTTCTGAACAGCGCAGGAAAAGGAAAGTTAGTGGAACACACTCTGGTCCAGATCGGGTCTCTGTCCGTGATGTGGCGGGACCAAACTGCCCCCGAAGAGTCAGCATGAACTGGCGCGATTTGCTGGCAACGATACAGCGTCACTACGTCTTCCTTTCCCCGAGGCTCACGGCGCTGGTGATCCGCGCCCGTTATCGCTGAATGGCGCAGGAACCAGACGATCAAATCGACCAGACAGACGCCTGATCAACACAATGAAAGGTACAAAAATGGTGGCATACCCTCTTCAAGGGGAGTATTACAAATTTGCATGGGGGTTTGAACTGAAATAGCCATCTTGAGGATCATTCAGTACACTTCGCAGCTTTCCCCTTCGTAAGACCTAAACGCCTAACCTGCTGACGACCCAAACCTGGTTACCATGCTGTGGAAATATGTTTTTTCGTGTGATTTTAGGTTGTCTCGGATGCTCCATTAGTTGTCGCGCGTACTGGCATTTACCGTCTCGCTGATTGGTGCAATTTTTCCCTTTAAACAGCTGCGTTCGCACCCATACACGGCACTGACCCTATCAAAATCTTACACAGGGCAGAGCTATGCGCCGCAATGACTGATCTTTATACTGGCTGTGACAGCTCAAAACCCCATACAAATGATGTAAAATATCTCTTCAGGCTAATCACCAACTGGTGCCTTCAAAGGACGCAACATAATGGCGTCTTATACCTCATTCAGATACACTTTACGTATGGCTTGGAATGCGAGGTAATATTCAGAGTTGCGTATTGTCAAGGAGTATGCCATCCGTCGTGGGTGCGTAAGTTACGTAATGCGCTGGAGGGGTGTGGAAGGGCAATACGTACGGTGTATTGATCCCAAATAACAGATGCCCACCGAATAAGTTCTTGCCAAATTCAAGAGCTTTGAAAAATGTGTAATAATGATTCGACTTTACAATAAGCATGATGTACAATGTAATAAAGTAGCGTGCCTATTTCAAATGGCCCCAAAATCCTCATTTCCCTGCAAATGGTCGTGAACCCCACCGATCAGCGATTGTTAAAGCCTGTCAGGAGACGTCGAGGAGTGGCTGAGAGGCACCTTTTTCAGGACTAACCGTATCGCCCGCCTTGCCAGCGTATGCGAACTGGACGCGGATGTCGCCCACATTGGGGGCCTCGATGTTGGCGCAGTGGTAGAAGATGTCGCCGTGCAGCTTGATGCGCCGGTCCGCCGGCCTCTCGTCACTGGCGAAGATCGTGTAGCGGGTGAAGAGGTCGCGCAGCTCCCGCGTCACACGGAAGGCGCCCACGTACGCCGTCGCCGCCTCTTGCACCCGGGACTCCAGAGGGAGGGACCTGTCGGCGAGTCGAGCCCGTCAGAGACCGCGGCCATCCCACGGCCCACCTGTCCAACGAACAGCCGCCTGCTGACGCACGCCGAACTGGCGTGACAAAGGCAAGCTGCTGGCCAGTGCCGCACGTTAAGGATGGGATCAAACCGCTGACAGAGACAAAGCACGCAGGAACGGATAGCTGGGCGCGGCTGACTGCGCTCAAGCACAGGCAAAGCACAATATAAACACCTGGATCGTGATATACGGTCCCACCGGGTGTATCCAGACCCAGGCCTAGTCAGGGTCATAGACCATAGCTCGGACCGACCTGGGATTTTCATGGTTAAAGGGTGAGTTGAAGGACCGAGCTATCTACCAGCTTGTCCTTCCAAGTTTTGTAGTAGTGGTAGGAGCGTCTCCACCTGCTGGCCATCGGCTGCCTCCACGGTCCTGAAACACGACATACCAGCGAACGTCATCACGAACGTCAGCGACGAGAGTGCTACACATGTAGAATAGCGCAAATGAAATGGCCAGAACACCACTAGTGTGTACATCAAACAGACGACCGGACCCGGATGTTCCAACCAGATGTGCAGCTTACACCGCAGTTTCGACTGCATAGCCATTTAGCATTTGCCATTAGCACATGCGTGAAACAACGATGAATGACGGAACGGTACAGCCGGCCGAAGCGGTTCACTAAACCTGTGGTAAACGACACGCAGCAACCCCGACGACAGTCTGACCAGCTGCCGTGCACAGCGTCCCTTCATCTGCCACACGGTGCTGCTCAAACAGCTTCCAGCCTGAATCTGAAGCCCACTTCCCTGGCTGTGGGTGCTCCCACGACCCAAACATCTGGACAACTCCAAGCAGCCCCCCCTCGCCGAGCGCACCTCCGCTGACTGACCTGCTGGTCTCCTCCTCCACCCATTGGTACATCTGGACGCGTCTCTTCAGCCGGATGACCGGCACGGCGATGCCGTACTCGGACTCGCGCAGCATGTCCTCTACGTCGATCTGGGCGACCAAGTGCACCAGCTTGCCGTCGTTCTCGCGACAGCAGTTTGTTGTGGTGCCGTGATGGTAATAGCGCTGCTCAGACCCTCGTTCAGCGCGCGCGCTCGGTCCACGGCCCGCCCCTGCCAGGTGCGAGCGTATAGCTGACGAGCGCTGCACGCGCGTCACGGCACCTGACCAAGAACAACGTACAGCGACACGCACGTGAAAGAGGCCAAACTGAGAATTGGTGATCGATGTGGCAGGAGAGCACAGCACGGTTACAATTGGGCGGGCGTTACCTGACAGTTCTCGACAGAGGCGCCTGGCGTACAACGATGTGATGACGCGCCGCTCAGTGTCGCAACATTCATAACATGAACAGACCGGCATTGTTGCGACCGCTTGCTGGAAGAGTACCTCATTCCAGAACTGCAGTCCGACGCCCCCCAGAAGCAGGACGAGGCCCACCAGTGACATGACCAGGCCAGACTTGATGGCTTCCCACAGCGACACGCTCTGTCTCGGTGACGCGGTCCGTATCAGAGGCTCCGTGTCGCTCCCAGGTTCTCTCGGTTGTCTTTGTCGCAAGCCTTCCTCGTCCATCTTGCCCTGAAATTCCAATAAAGAGATCAACTAAAGAAAAGCCGATCCCACATTAAGTTTAAAAGCAGAAATAATGAAGTTAACAGTTTTAACAGCTTAAGTTTAGCGCGTCTTCGGGCCCAAAGATATAACATCTCTAGCATCCCTATAACGTCTAGTCTAGTCCCTAATCCGGGTATAAGTCTAGAATATAACCTCAGCAGCTGAGTGCGCCGTGAAGTCCCAATGACATGACATGAGATGACACTAGTCTGCATACTACTTGTAACAAAAAGCTTCATTCGGCAGTAGTGATGACAAGGCCCACCTGAAAAACCCGCGCAAAACGAAGGTGTTGTAAATGCGAGATAGCCATTGTAAAAATCTCGCCGACCCTTGGTGTGCTATTCGGGATTTACGACGCACTCAAGAGCTGGGGCCACATGATCTCACCCGCCTCTCATGCTGGCAGGCAGGGTGAACCCCGCGGGCATGACCTCACCTGCCTCTCACTCTCCCAGGAGCGATGGACACCGCGGACATGACCTCACCCGCCTCCCATCCTTGCAGGAGCGGTGGACACCGCGAGGAATTGGATCCCGTTCCCCTAGTTCCCTTGACGCGGAGCTCAATCATTGCCCTACCCACCTTATCGAGAGCTTTTAAATTCCGTTGAACCATTCAATGCTAACCTAGTTTCAATGCCAGGCGTCCTAGAGCCCATCCCACACACTTCTAGGGAGCGTTCTCCATCTCTGACGCGTCTGACGCAACGAAAGCTGTTAACTGAGCCCACGCCCGCGCAACACTCCCACGCACAGCGTGGCGTCCTGATATACTCCTTGTGACGCCACCCGGGCTGGGCACATTCAATCATGTCCATCTCAGACATCTATGACAGGAACAATAGACGCGGCGGGTGCTATGCCGACCTTCAGATCGCTCCTCGGTATTTCGCTGGGGGCCAGGTGTCTATGCATTTACATGGAATCACAAATGCCCGATTCCGGCTTAATTGTAGATACCACATTATAAATGCTAACGATGACTGCTGAACAGATAAGATTCCTGTTTAAAAAAGGAATCTGCTTCACTAGAATCATTAGCAGGGTAAATTACAGAACGATCACGTGAAATGGGACACAATCGGATATAGTTTAAATAGGCTGTCTCGTATTGATATCGCGATAGATCCCAAGTCGAAACACATTCCTCATACTAAACGCTGGCATCGTTATTAATGCCATCATGTTGAATCAAGCACAGGTTCTCGTGCCCGAGATTAGCTTCTACGATACAAACTATTGCTCCATACCAACCTCTGCCCTTTGCGACCTGTGATACGAACTTTGCCCCAGGTAATCTTTTGCCATACAAACTTTGCTCTGTACGAACTCCCGCCCCTGACGAACTTTTGCCACACGAACCCTTACCTTGGACAAACTTTTGTCTCGTACGAACTTGATGCTGACAAGCTTCTGCGAGACGAGCTTTTTGCGCTACGCGAACTTTTGTCCGAAGAACCTTTCCCCATATTAACTGTCGCCCGAGTAGCTACTTTTCCACAAACCTTTGTCAGACCAACTTTTGTCAGGTAACCCACAATACCCGCGTGGGGGCCGGCCTTTGGTGACGTTTTTTCAAGAAACTCACAATACCCGCGTGTGGACCGGCCTTTGGTGACGTAAGGACGAGCCTAGTAATACCTGACTTGGTTTTCAAACTGCATACACCACGACAATCACACCATTTTCTTCAATCTCCTTGCATGAAACGCTTCAGCATCTCGGCCCAATCATTAGCCCATGAAATAGCTGTGCACATGGTATTTCAAAATCAGATACAGGGTGCTATAATTGCGTATTACAAAATCTTTAAATGGACACCGTCCTGCCCCCCAGGATGCCCAAGTCTCAATTTTGAATTCCCGCATCTTTATGAACAACAACCCCAGCGGCATAGGAACAGGAGAGGGATAGGGATGGAGGGAGGGGGGACGGTGGTCCCTGAAACCTGGGAATGTTATGCATGGCGTAAATATTACATGCAAGGGATGCTGCCGCCCATAATGCTATGTCCATTCTCGTGCTCCAAAATAAGTCTCCACAGCATGCCCTTTTTTGGTCACAATTCAGTGTTTATTCAAATTTCTGCTTGCTCCAGCAGAAGCACACTTTTACCATGAATAGTGTAGTTATCAACAGAAGCAAATTACAACAGCACAGTGAAAGCAAATCTTAGGGACAATTATATGGTAAAATCTACCAATGGGCAATGAGTAACATGAGTAGTAATGAGTTGGGGTAGAATATTGCTTGTCCTATGTAAATGCACAAACAATCTTTCCACTTCAGTGATAAATCAAACTTTGAAATTCAGTGAAAGTTGCGTTACTGAGGAAAATAAAGATTGATGGGAAATCCTGGAACTACTGTAATCGAGGTTCTTGGAGACGTTGCGCCAAAAACTGAATATATTGCACCAAATACTGGTTGCATTGCATCATACAGGTTCGCCATTTATACTGGTCCACATGGGCCTACACTCGGATCACTGACGCGCACATCCTGCGCACGCGTCCCTGCAAGGCGTTGGCGGGAGAACTGCCTTCCAGATGTTCAGGATGCATGCAGGCTGGTGCGTGGGGCGTCCAGGTGGAGGCCATTATGCTGCGCAATGGCCGCGGTCACGCAGCGGTCACGCAGCGGCCACACAACCACCATTGCCTGGCAGCGCGACTGGTCGTCTTTGTAGTTGTAAATGTTTGGCCAACGTTCTCCACAGTTCGTGGGGTGAGCGAGGGTCGGTCACCTCCGGTGACTGGGGGCTGTAACCCGAGACACTTCGTATTAGGGACCGGTGCTGGAGTATGCTTCCTTCGAATGACATGGAGAGATGGGCTTTCTTCCCACACTTCTGCTTGCCCATATGGTTGCCCAAGTTCCAGATGCATTTTTAATATATCACAAGTCAACTTCAATAGAGACCAAAACAACAATGATTTCTCTATTGCAGATGTGCATTGCATGAGATAGCAATGCTTCATTTGTTTCCTTTTACATGCTGCAACATTGTGCAACATGTAAAACCCTCAATATTTCTGTCTGATGAAGGGTGTGCCCAAATTGTCTGCTGAGCTGGATAGCTCAACTTGAGTGGTGGGTTCAGGATGCACCCAACAAGCTATGCTTAGCATGCATGCTGGATCCAGTCACCCATGGCAATAATTCAGCATCAATGAAAAACAAAAAGAAATTCCACAAGCAAAGGTCACATACACACAGAGCATCACAGAACTCAGACGGCAGCAAGTTTGGTCTCATTCAAAGCATAAATACTTCCCAAAATGAAAGCAGTGAGCGCACAATGAAATTATGCAAGCTGATGCAATCAAGTGGACAATTAAATTTTGAGAGGTGTCAACTAAATTGACTATGCCATGATTTTAATGGAAGATATGGTATCAGTGTTGGAAAGACAAGGGCATCACATAAAAAATGCATTCAGACGAGACAAATTATTTGACAAATGATTATATCTCTCATCATGATCCACATGAATTCTCCACTTGCATCAAGCAGGTCTAGACATTATCTCTCAGATTCATCTCCCATTCACAGCCCAGTCATAGCTGTGCATAACAAAAAAAGAATGTGTATCCTCATCATTATCTGAAAATTGCATTCATGATTTCCAGGATTCTGGACCATGCTTTTCAGGATTCTCCTTCAGCACATCAAAACATCTGGGACAATTTTCCTTATTGGTAGAGCTGAAAACCATTGCTGAAGATTGCACAATGTTCCTGCTACTTTTCCCAGATTATTTGCTAGCTGAACCCAACCAGGGCTGAAAGATATATTCATAATTATTGCAACACTCAAGAAACAATATACATTACAAGGAGAAAATGGGGTCCTGCTCATACTATATACTCATACCTGTGCCAGAATAAATTTCCTTCCACTCTTGATGATTTGTGATAACATACCTATACACACGCCAATTGGCATGCATGCAAATGCCTTACACATGTTGTTAAACCCTGTTAATAGCCATACCACTATCAGTATCGTTATACCAATACTACATCACAAGCCTAAACGTGAAAACGTTAAGACCTTGTTGCTTCTCATCCATTCAGGCTGAAATTTGCTCCAGGTATTCCACCCCCCACCTACCAGTGTTATTTACCTTTCTGCCGACAATGTTTGCGGAGGGAAGAGCGTCGGCGTAGGTCTGTAAGGGGGACCGGCTAATCAGCTGATGAAATGTCGCTGTCAGGCCGGGTAAATCATCCTAATGACAAGTTTTGTGCTCCTCATGAGGCCACTGGTAAACATGTGAAGATTGGACTTCTCTTACTTCTCACATCACAAGAACTCACAATCTTCTTATGATGGCAACATTGAAAACCAAGCAGGTATTCGTAATAACAGGGTCCTGCAGCCTACTGATGACGTCGCTGGATGGTCGCTGGACGAATGAATCAGTCATCAATTGAAAACTTTCAGTGGGACACGTTTTTCGGCTGTTTTCCCGCTACTCACAACGTTTGGAGAGACTGTTACGGTGTGCGTGCATCTGCCCACGTACTCGCGGGCTACATTATTATGGTAATGCCATTTGAAAAAAATGAAGTAAAAAGTGAGCCGCGTTTTACCTGCTGCTCATGATGTCACCAGACACGAGCTATGGTCTTCGTTTCCTATCACTAGGAAACCTGATATGGCGGAAAGCCGCCTTTCCCAGCAGGCTTCCTCAAGACACTGCTCCAAGAAGGACCAAGCGACCCATAAACAAACCGCATTCAGACATGTCCACGCTGAGTTGCCAGTGGGGTGGGGGAAAGGCATGAACTGACTCAGCGTTTTCGGCTACCCGCATTATCTGTCCTTAACAAACATTGGTGCAACCACTGACGGACACCATTTTGACACGATTTATGGTTTCTCCTAGTCTTGAGACGCGGGTTCCGTGAGTGTTACCGCACCCCCACCATTAGACACTTTCTGAGAATGTATGCAGAGCATTAATGTTATGGCAATGGATGGGAAGGATCGACTACAATAAGACTTTGAACACCCTCACTTTCTGAGACGTTCCTCCGTCTATCTTTCGGGTGCCAACGCCAGATGTTGTATTACATTTGCAGCCCAGCTCTTCAATTTACCTTCCGGCCGTCTGCTATGAACCCTCCAATTTCAGTGCGTGATATTGCTTTGCTGCGTCTGGAAACGACTGCAGGGTATTTAAAATCATTTCTGAACAAAATGCCTTTTAGGTGAGTCCACTTCGAATAAATATGACCGTTGATGGGCATCATCGCACTTTTTGCCTTTCGGCCGTCAGCCTTATCCACGCATTTCAAACGTGCCGGTATAGTTTCAATCTTTGCAACTACCAACACCACCATTTTAAGAAAATGCAGATAATTTCCCTCATGTGGTGGAGAAAATGACCTTATCATTTCCGTACGAGATGACATTCCAGCAAGCCAATCCCGAATTCGCCGCCAGCATCATCTGATCAGATCTGCACACCACCACGGCCTACGAAGCATATACAGCGTACATTGAGGCCGACGCAGGACCTAGTCCCCTGAGAGCGTGAGCAAACGTTATTTTACAGCTATAGCCATATACTTCCCATGAAGTGTGTTTATCTGGCAAGTGAGGGACAATGGATGCACATGGCGAAGCAGAGTAATCAAGATATTCTATGGAAATGTGCCTGTGGCTCCTATGCCGAGGAAGGTTCGAGTACAAGGGCATCCCCACTTTCTGAGAATGTAGGGCATTAAACTTCTGGAATTTGATGGAAAAAATCGCCAACAAGATGACTAGGAGCACCCTCCCTTTCTGAAACGTCCCTCCGTGTATGCTACGGGTGCCAGTGGCAGATCTTTTATCACTTTTGCAGCTAAACTCTTCAACTTGACGTACAGTGAAACACCGTTTCATGGTATATGCATAAAGCCGCAGACACGCGTTGTCGCAGGCTCGCTTGCGGTTAGGTATTGCACCGGGCCAAATACAAGCTGTCGTTTCGTGTCTCATAAGCCGTGGCGCTCCCCATCAATAATCGGCCGAGGCTGGAATGCTGTTATTGCCCTGACCACGATGCTAGAATTTCACATCAGCACATGTCTCATGGCATCTGCACATAGCCACACACGCAGCTTGTTTCAGTCTCGCATACGGTTACATCTTGCGTCGGCTTTATCTCATGTTGTTGCGATGTACCCAGTAGGTCATGGTGCTCTCCGCGCACAACCTGCTAATGATGCAACGGCATCCGCACTTCCTGAGAATGTTGAGCATTATATTTATGGAATTTGATGAGAAGAATCGCCAACAATATGACTAGGAGCACTCTTCCTTCCTGAAGCGTTCCCCCGTGTATGTTACGCGTGCCAGCGGCAGACCTCTTACCACTTTTGAAGCCAAACTCTTAAACTTACACTACGGCCGCCTGCTTTGAAATCTCCAGTTCCACTGCATGACATGGCTTTGCTGCATTTGGAAACTACTGCAAGGTGCTCCAAATGATTTCTGAGCATAATGTCACTAACGTGGCCTGGCGTCTGGGATCCATTTTAAAAATGGGGACATGGCTGGCGCCTGCGATTTACATTGACTGGGGCCCCATGACTCAACTAACGACCCACTGTGTCGGCCAGGGACTCACCGTGACGTACAGTGAAACACCGTTTCATGGTACATGCATAAAGTCGCTATACACACATTGTTTACATTGCACGCTCGCGTGCGGTGCTGGTGCTGCACCGGCCCAAATACACGCTGTCGTTTCGTGTCTTATAAGCCGTGGCGCTCCCCGGCAATAATCGGCCGAGGCTAGAATGTTGTTCCTGCCCTGACCACGATGCTCGACTTTTCACATCAGCACATGTTTCATGGTATCAATACATAGCCGCATACACAGCTTGTTTCAGTCTTGCACGCGGTTCCATATTGCGTCGGCTTTAACGCACGCTGCTGCGATGTGCCCATTAGGTCGTGGTGCTCCCGGGGCACTACCTGCTAATGATGGAATATTTCAATTATCCTATTAAACAAAAATGGTCTCCGGTTATGATCGCACCGATAAAAACTAAACTGCAGCGTTTGATATGTACAGACCATGTTGGTGGCCGAGACGTACAGAGCTGTATTTCGAGCTTATCACCAGCCCTATTGGTAACTCTCGTTCTATTGTGCACTTGTTGGGATGTGTACCGCTTTTCCGCGAGTCATATATGACCATTGGACTTGATTTTTCAGGTAAACATACCTTTCATGGTATATACATTTAACAGCATGCACACCGTGCTTCACGCTGGAAGACGTGTGGGTACTGCGTAGGCCTTAACGTACGCCCTGGCTATGTGCCCAATAGGCCGTGGTGCTGCCCGTGAAAAGCTAAGCGGAGCTAGAAGATTTCAGATGCGTTTAAATAGGTTTATAATGATGTCCACCAGACGTTGCACCGATGGAAGCTATATTGACACATTTGAAATGGGCAAATGATACTGGCGGCCGAAACGTAATGAGTTCGCTTTGCGCCTATCATCGGCCCTATTGGTAACTCCGAGTGGGCGTACCTGAATGACATTTTGTTCAAGAAGGATGGGTCCACTGTCTCCATGATAATAGCGAAATTGCATGCATAGTTTTAAAATGGTGTTGCTAGTGATATCATCGATTTAAACTATACTGGCACGTTTCAAATGGAAAGACAATGGCAGCGGCCGAAACGTAAAGAGTCTGCTGATGTCTATCAACGGCCACTATTGGTAACATCATTTGGACCGATTTTAATGCAACTTTATTCGTGAATCATTTGGACCTCCAGTACTTTCTAAACGTAACAAAGTTAGGCCATGGAATCAAATTGGACATTTCATGGTAGACGGTGGTAATGGAAATGAGCATTGGTTGGAAGTGGTTTTGGCGACGGGCGCTACCAGCCGGAAGTGGACTTTCTTATTAATTTTCCTGCACTGACGTAGCGTTTTCTCTGTTTCGTAATGCGTGACCAACGCGTTTTATGGTATATACACATAACACATTTCCTGAGAACGTTCACTATTTTGCAGAATCGACTAGCGAAACAAATAACATCGAAAAGTATGAGCCCCCGCACCGGGCGCCGATAGTGCAGTGGGTAACGCGGCTGCTTTAACCACTGTGCGTTCGGGAAACCACAGGTACGGGGTTCGATTCCCCACAGTGCACAGGGTTCAATCCCCCCCCCCCCCCTCTCCCGCCAGGGTGACTGGCGTCGCCTTATAGCCCCAGCAACTGAGTGCGTCATAAAGCCCAAATGACACATCGGCAATATCGGGGAACAAGGATAGCGATGGCTTGGGTCGCCGTTTTCGTAAAACCGAACGGCGTTGGCCACTGCAAGTAACACCAGAGGGCAGGCGCCGTGCGCACAACAGTGGCCATTGTAAAATAACATTTCTGAACGTTCTTCAAAATCAACTTGTGCAGGTCAAAGATTACACTGGGCAAATCTTTTCTTCAGCTTTGAGTTTGTTCTCTGGACAGATTAACAGTAACAGCGAGGCGAATATAGAAGTGTTACCTTTACTCTTCCACTTCAACCACCAGATTGCAGCACCACTTCCAGTTGCTGTAAAAACCAATATGCTAGTGTCATCAATCTAAAAACCGCAAAGGTGAAATATACGACTGGAATATCCCTAAGTGTACGATTTGGTGCTCAAAAGCGTTCAAAGGCAATTCCTTCATACGCGTCATCATTTTCGTCCACCTGTTGGCCACGGCCTATTGTAAACCGCAAGGCAAACTGATGACCTGCAAGCTGCGCGGCTTGAGGAGACCTGCAGCACCTGGTGTCGATTTTTTGTTGATAAGATATGCCGGTACGCATGCTGAGTATATATATATATATATATATATATATATATATATATATGTATATATATAATGTAGTGTGTGTGTGTGTGGTGTGTGTGTGTGTGTGTGTGTGTGTGTGTGTGTGTGTGTGTGTGTGTGTGTGTGTGTGTGTGTGTGTGTGTGTGTGTGTGTGTGTGTGTGTGTGTGTGTGTGTGTGTGTGTGTATGTGTGTGTGTGTGTGTGTGTGTGTGTGTGTGGTGTGTGTGTGTGTGTGTGTGTGTGTGTGTGTGTGTGTGTGTGTGTGTGTGTGTGTGTGTGTGTGTGTGTGTGTGTGTGTGTGTGTGTGTGTGTGTGTGTGGTGTGTGTGTGTGTGTGTGTGTGTGTGTGTGTGTGTGTGTGTGGTGTGTGTGTGTGTGTGTGTGTGTGATATCTAAGAAAACATGCCCTCATTATGAAATGCACAACATACAGTGATCTTTTCTTTGGGGGGGGGGGGGGGTCTTTTGTTGTCAGGCTGCCCGTTGTCAACCCTGTGGCCCCCTCTTGCCAAGGCTCTAACTGTGCCCCCGCTTGAACTCACCCCGCGACGGGCGGGTGAATCGGAAGGCAGGCACTCTAGCCAATTGTATCATCGTATCGGCGTGCAATGCAAACATCGGCAAAATTGCAGGGCCGTATCCATTTGCGTACAAATGCCCCAACAAAAACGCGAGGATGAAAGTGATGATGAATCATTGACGGTGCATACAAAAATATTGTCGTACTTAGAGAATTTAATGGAGTGTCACACATTTGGAGCAAATTAAAAAACATTCTGGTGAAAACTCAGGACCAGTGACGCCTAATGAAAGCGCTGGATGGGGCCCCTAAAGCAGCATGAATATATTAATTTTCACTATTTTGGAGCTCAAATTACGCCGGTGACGATTTGTAACAGCACTACCCTTCTTCCTCCAGCTGCAGCTGTCAAAGCTGCAGTTGTCGCGACAGCCGTCGGCATAACGACGGTAGAATCCGCTGAGGGCCGTTGTCAGCTGTCATGGAATGGAGCCGCAGTTTTAGCCGCACTTTTAGCACTTCTTAGCTGTTTCAAACCGTACATTGTGGGCGTGTGGGCTAAAAAGTGACTCCTCTAATGGCGTGAACGCCCCCAATACATATGAAGGTTTGTGATTGGCGCAGCGGGCGGCAAGGGCCAGTTATCAAGAATCCGATTGGTTGAAGTTTGAACCAGACCGTCATTTTGGACTGTCATACAGGGCCACTGTGCTAAACAGCATAGGGGAGAAATCGAAGCCAAAATACAACGTTTTGTTGAGTTGCGCGATAATAACCCAGTTTCACACATCCTTTTTTCTAAACAGTGTGTTTCCAGCTTTCGTAATATTTGTTACACAAATATTTTGGAAAAACTAGGGTGTTGTAAAAAATACAGAACACGCCCGTTCAAAAAAGCAAGGCAACTTTATTATCTTACTTTCATTGTCGTGAACAGGGGTCTAAGGAGATTTCTCCCGCGGGAGCGGCTACTTTAAATCGAAATTCTTAGCTATTCAGGAGGATTTCGAAAAAAATGGTATCCCCAGCCAAAGCGGACGCGTGTTACCTAATAAAAGGTGAGAAGCAGAAAGAGGGGGCATGCTCCCCATAAGGATATTGCATTGAAGCACATACACTACAAAATCAGCATTAGTTCCCAATTTTCCCTTTAAAAGATGTTTAATCTCTATAGTCTGCGGCACGTGACAACCCAACCGCCCCCTAATCCAGCTCTGAACTCCAGACACGGAGGACATGCATGTGCTCGGGCAATATGGAGGGAATACTGCTGAACGGTCTTCTGAAGTCTTAGTGCCATCGTGCTAGCCTATTAACCATACTGATCGCAGCACGTGGACCACAGTCCTTGAGTCTTGAGTATTTTTAGTAAGTCAATAAGGTTTTCGCTTTTGACGTTGAAAGTGTATAATATCCATACGAAGCAGGCACGCACTGATCCCTTCACTTCCTAATTCGACCTTGAACTCCAAGCACGGAAGACATTGAGTGTGCTCGGGCAGTAAAGCGGAATATCACCGAGTAGCCTTTTGGAGTCCTGGAAGCATCGCACTAGATTTGTAACAGTGGAATTGCCATGCCACATGACAGGAAACAGAAAGCGTGCGTAGTATTTTGTGAAAGATGAGCGCGCCATACGTGACCTCAATCCCAAATCTGGACAGCTGATGATCCATGCAGACGCGACTTGCCAATACGAGCTCGCCCACACGTCACTACAAGGCCATATCGCACGTCCGAGCTCCATGAACAGCTGACGATCAATCTTTTGCGCCGATTTCGTCCTTCGATACGCTTGTTTTAAAAGTTTGTTTGGATCGCTGGAACGAGTAGGTAATCGGTGTTTTTCTGGGTTTTCCTCATGGCTAAGTACCAAATCAGGGTATGCATAAAGCAGAAAGCATTCCTAGCATTATTATGGAAGGTTATGTCATTTGCAGATAAAGTCTGGGCTGCAAAGAAGTGTATTGGTTTGTCATTATGAATTTCACAAGTACACATTGGGATTTCGATGCAAGACAATGCTCTCAGCTCAGTCCAGGCATTGCGTGGTGTTTGTTGTTTGAACAGGTCCTGCGTAGTTGCATCCTTCAGATGTGCCCCCAAAATTTTTGGGTGTTTGCATGGGACCTGGGTTCTCTGTAACGTGTGATTCATTTCACAAATGATGTGCGAAAGCCAAGATGGTAGTTTTGCAAAATACATTTATGCTTGGAGTAGGCTGGGCGGTGATAAATGGGTAAACGTATTAAGTTGCTGGGCGTGGATCTGGAGTTCACTAACTGAATAGGATGCTTAAGTCATGACAGAATATGCCACTAGTGTGCGATTATTTCAGCATGGCTCTTGGTGTTGTGTCGATATTTCACCCTCTCAGAATGTTTAGTTAAACAATTGCGCCTAACTGTAAGTTTGACGAGTATTAAGCCATGGTAGCATCGCCTTGAAGCTATAAAATATGCACTATATGCTAGGCCAATGACATGCATGGTATGTCTGGAGGAGCTTATGATAAAATGTAGCTCCCCTGTTTTATAATTTCTACACAAAGAATTGACCTCTTCCAGTGACATTTAATACCAACAACTGCAAGTTAATTACATATGAATTTGTGGATAAGAAAACACATGTTGGAAAAGGTTAGGTGTAGACTAGTCACCAATACCCGCAATGTAGTTAGCAATATCCCCAAAAGCTCTGCGGGCTCTTTAAGCCCGCGCCTTGCGAGCCTGCGGGCTCAAAGGTGGCAGCACGAGTGTGCGCCCTCTGCATCTTTAGAAGGCTATTGGCGGTTCCATGCGTGTCACGGGTTGACAGTGCATGGTGATACAGTGCACGCGCTTTCAGAGATGCGGTGGGCGAGACGTGTGTAGGTTCTATGCATTACGCCCAGGTAAAAGCCTAGCTCGTAGCTCGTGGCTCGTAAAAAGGAGGGAGCTCGTAAAAACTCGTCAAATTTTTCTCATTTGAACTCGGCTAGAATCGTAGAAACATGTTCATAGGGACGAAGCCTTTCACGGTACGGTACAGTTGCTGGCCACTTTTTGAATGTGGTACTGCTCGGCACTGCCACTGATCCCCTTCACAGTGAAGGTGTGAAGGGGAACCAACGTAACCAACATCTTCCTCGACATCGGTTCTTGTCCTTCCAACCAGCGACAGCAGCCACAACTAAAGTCACACCGTGTATTATGACGTGGCAATGACACCGATGCTATATCTATCGTCTGCAACACCCTTCCATCAGCGTGGAATCCTCACACAGACCGCTTTCATCTTCTCTGGACCGACCATCACGACCCGATCCCTCGCCTCGATCTCGATCTCGGTCTCGTCCTGATCTCGATCTCGATCTTATCCTGACTCCAGCTCGCGCCCGCTCGGCGCTCAGTGGTCACTCTGAAGCTCCTGGTCGAACATGTACTCGGCCAGGTTGGGCTGCAGCAGCTGCATCTTGCGCAGGGTGGTGATGTGGCCTGTGAACTCGCGCACCCCCTTGTGCTGCTCGTCCAGCATCTCAGCCGTCAGCCAGTCGGCCGCCTGTAGCGAGGGGCGTCGGTTACATGGCCGCCTCACGGAATGGTGGCAATCACATGGCAGCGAGCACAAGAGGCGTTGTTCACGTTCAGGCGTTGAGTTTTGTCGCAGGAGGGTTATGATTTTATTCGAACCAAAACCGGATGGGCTGTTTCCATGGGTTGACATGCACTAAATGACACTGATTCAAGAACCTGTTTTGCAGCGTGAGCGTTAAGAGATGTCAGCAACGAAAACGAACTGATCCAAACGCATTGACGTCTGGTTGTCGTCTGCTAAAGGACTCCACGGGTTGGGTAAGCCCATAGGTACTGATGTCGGACGGATAACAGGTTGGGCTGGGTACAGATTTGTGGAAAATTACGGGCATAGGTAAGGGAATGGGTACGCGTTTGCGAGATGTTGGTAGTTATTTCAAGAAACAACACGTATTGCTACTGGTTACGTTTTTTGGGTCATATTTAGTTTCATTTACGCCTCATTTGCGATTGTGAAAGCAAAATAAAAGGTTGAGTGCACACCATACTGAACTTACAAAGCAAGCGAAATTCAGCTTGAATGCAAACACTTGCACACTTAGGAGGTAGAATGCAGGAAAATGCAAGGTGCGGGTAACGTGTGGGTGCGGGGAATTAAAAACAGGCAGCGGGTGAATATGGATATGACCCTATGGTTGGCAGAAGAATTCAGTAAAGAAGATCTTATCCGTGAAGGCATCTACTGTTTGCCGTGTTGCAGCCCTACGGGCCATTAGATCGTTAGAAATCACACAACACGCAGCACAGTAAAACACATACCTGCGCACCAACACACACACTCACACGTACACCCCCACACACCCACGCACAGAAAACATCCACAGACACAGACCATTCCTGACTTAAGATAAATTTGAGTAGCAATGATATTGTTTGCTTCGAAAACCAAGGATTGTAAATTAAGATTGCTCTTAGTACCTGTGAAACATCTTATGCATCCATCGAAAAAAAAACTCAAGGTGAATGGACATAAACTGTAACGTGAATATTGGACCCTTCACACGGCCGATATCTCGGTCATCACGCCAACAAGAAACTGAAGTGGTTGCCAGTCACGTGAACAAGCGGCGCACAAAGGCAAGGACTTACATGCCAGTCAAGTTCGCAGACTTTTATCATATTGGTGAAGTGTCTGGTCACGGCCTTCTCGATGTTCAGCGCGTCGGTGAGCGCCTCGATGCCAGTCTTCCAGGTATCCTTCAGCGGCTTGCTGCTCTTGTCAACAAAAAATGCGGCTCTCAGTCTGTTGCCCGGTCAGGCGCACATCATACTTTTTTGGTGAATTCATCCATGAACTTTTGCAACATAAGGCCCGTGGTTTAGCGCACAGTTTCAGACAAACGCCGCATACTTTTGTAGAACTCACATTTTACCGTTTGCTTTAATCATTTTTGCTGCCATTCATCTGAAATGTTTCCATTTTCGTACCATCTTCACTGATCTTTTTTTACTTGTTATGTCATGACATCTCTGGTGACTTCCTTATTTGGTGATATTCTTGCATACTTATTCGTGAGTTTAAGATGTTAACTTGCGCAACTCGGTTAGGCGCTATTCTTAAGTTATTCTATTACAAGTCTCATTTCCGCAACTAGCCAGTGAGCCTACCACATCCAACTTTTTATATTACGTAGCAAAAAAAAAAAACACAAAAAACAAAAAACGTGGCTCATGATTGAAGCTTCCATAGCTTGCTCAACGTTGATTGAGAGCCAATTGACTTCCAGTTTATTTGGCAATGGTGCTCACTGACGCCAGATCTGAACGACTCGACGATAATCTTCCTCCTGGCCTTACACGACGCATGACCGTGTAATGCATGATCGTGACCATGGTTATGACCATGACGCATGACCATGTAACGCATGATAAGGTGGTAGCAGGTTTTGAATGACGTTGCGTCATGCATGGCCGGATGATCTTGAAAAATCCTGCACTATATAGTCTTCACATCTCTGCGGACGTGTAGCTCGGAAACTAAAGGGTTTTAGGTCTTAAAAGAGCAGGGCTGTAAACTGCACCGAATGGTCTTCAAAACAGTCACTTCAGTTCAAAATCCCATACAAATGTGGAGCACTCCCTTTAACTGGTGCACGTGTAGAGAACGAAATGTCGTGTGCATGCGTGTGTATGTGTGTGCGTGTGTGCGTGCGTGTACGTGTACGTGTATGTGCGTGCGTGCGTGCGTGCGTGCGTGCGCGCGTGCGTGCGTGCGTGCGTGTGTGTGTGTGTGTGTGTGTGTGTGTGTGTGTGTGTGTGTGTGTGTGTGTGTGTGTGTGTGTGTGTGTGTGTGTGTGTGTGTGCGTGTGTGTGCGTGTAAGTGCGTGTGCGCATGCCCTTTCGGGCGACGTTCTCTTGCATTTGGCTATGATTTTATATTTTTTAAGCCTAATTTGCATCCTTGTTTTCGGCGTTATTCTCAAAGGGAGACGTTCTGCGTTTGAGGATATTGAACGAAGGATCCGATATAATGATTAAACTAATTTATAAATATTGACACACTTCTTAGTGCAAAACACTGCTCTAGACAACACAATTTCTCCGTTTAGTAAATATGCTCTTCAATACGTCGTTGTTTGATGACGAGGTACTCGCTTGCGCAGCATTGACTGAGAGACGCTTGACTGCCGTTATACCTGGTAATCGTGCTCAGGAATGCCGTGCATGAACCGCCCGATAATTTTTGCGCTGCGAGCTCATTTGAGCTGGCGATTGTTTTCTGTTTAATCTTGTTGTTGACTGACTATATAGTATTATAAGTCAGTCAACATGGTATATTTATGTTAAAGCATTATTTTTTATTGCTGCCTACATCTGAGAGTCGTCGGCTAGCACAGATGGCTAAATCTATCGCGATTCTAGGACCCGGACGCCTTGTGCACTCAGTGACCGGTGCGACTGTTGACAGGAGCATGCAAAAGCAATTACACGGTGGTCACTGAGACGCTATGTAGATGCGTGTCGTGAAGTTAGGGCCGAAAAAACTTAGGGCAAGTCTGATGAGGCTAGGCTGTTGTTAAGCCATTACTTGTTTTTAAACAACGCCAGACGGTTAATAATAAAACTCTTGCTGATTAAGAGGGGAAGTGCTAGGCTTCACCAGACTCGAAAGGGAAGTAGAGGGAGCGGCAATTCCGTTGCTATGCTACTCCTACACCCACCCTTGCGTTTTGCGTGTGGACTTCCTTAAGCTAACCTACATGGTGGTGAGCGTTCAGTATTGTGTTTTGCGTATGTCTTGCAACGCAAGACTCTTTGTAGGGAGTCTCTTGTAACCCGAAGCTGAAGAAGTCTGATACAGTGGACCACCATCCGACACCAGCCAGGAGAAGTCACTGTTGTACGCCTCTCGCTCTTACCTCCCGCGAGTGTGTGTACAACATTGCATGCTCCCGGCGCAGTGGACGTACGTATCGAGCCTGCAGGTAGTTGGTGTTGTGGTCTCCACGCATGAGCAGGTAGTCGGCCAGCTTGAAGGCGTGTCCCCGCTCCTCGCCGGCGTGGTCGAAGAACATGTCCGAAATGCCCGGACGGTTGACGTTGTCCTGGGCGAAGTGCGCCCCCTGCCCGAAGAAGCGGCGCCGCCCTCAACACGCTAGCCACCGGGTGGATGAACGGGTGCATAAGCCTCCACCGTGTTGTATGGCATGTCACACGTCACACGTCGCATGCCACATGTTTGCGCAGCACACGCCGTTTGGGAACGCTCTAGTCTGAGTTCAAACATTCCGCGGACCAGGGCAAGGTCCAAAATTGGTGGTGGCTTCATATGACAAACACTGGCAAGATTTAGAGTGACGATGCCCGGAATCAATGTGTTTAAATGGAAAAGCGTCAGAATTATGCTAGTCTCACCGAAAGTTGAGAAACCTGTGTACCATGTCTTCCGCCCAGGCTGTCATCTGCGCGGTGAAATCAGGAGGTGTCGGCAGGACTTACCGCAGCCAGGTAGGTGATGGAGGCGTCCAATTCCCGGGTGATCTGGTCACGGATGGCCGTGGCGCAATCCTCGATGTAGCGGTAGTTCTTGGCGCAGGGAAGACCGCCGCCTGCGGCCGGAGTTGTTTGTTCATCATTTAAAGAGAACGTTTCACATTTGTAGATATTGAAGCAAGCATCAGCTGTGATGAAACACGCTCACTTATAGCTACTGGCATATTATTAAGTGGAAAAACTGCTGTAGACAGTACAATTCTCTTTTTAGTAAACATGCCCCTCAATGCGTCACGGCTTCATTACGTCATCATAACTTGTACAACATTGATTGGGAGCCGATTGACGGCCGTTATATCTGGAAGTCGAGCTCACGAACGCCATAAATGAACGTCTCGACCATTTTACTTTATTGGGCTTGTTTGCCGCATGACTTATGAAATGACAGGATTTGAATGACGTTATTATGACGTCATGAATGCCAAGGTGACTTTGGAGTACTCTCCCCGATGTAACTTTCCCCATTTTCGCGGGCGTGTAGCTCAGAAACTAAAATGGCTTGAAGGAATGAAACGAGCATGGCTATGCGATGACGCATTTCTGGGGCGAAATCTCACGTTATTCGTATACTCACATTTGTCTTCCGGGTCATTGGCGTTGAGCGAGAGCCCGGCCATGGCCGAGGCCACCAGAGAGAGCAGCAGCAGCAGCGTCTTCATGTTCAGGCCACTGGGTGTCAATCGCCTGGGGCCTGCGGCAGGACAGACTGGCCGTCCGAGTCGCCACACTGGACACTCTCGGATCTCTGTTATCAGTCCCGGCCCGTCCACTGACGCCACCGCCGCCGCCGGGCAGCAGCCAATCAAACCACAATCCGCGCAGAGCAGCACCCTCGCATCAAAGTCCAATCAGGCCAGGCGAGGACCTAATTTTGCAATAACGACTGAGAACCGCGCATGGACGCTCCACAACTAAACACCGCGGCGCGGGATGCTGTGCGATGGCCAGTTGTTTTGCCTGTCTGCAAATGCACGTTACTGTTTAGCCGTGCTGACACGCTATTTGAAAGCCGTTTTGATCAGGCCCCTGACGTGTCGCACCCAGAAGATGCACGCAAACAAAGAACGGCCAGAGATCAGCCAATGGCGCAGTGTTACCACCCCGACAGATACGGGCCGAGTCACCCTAGATTAGTGACCGGGGCGAGCATATCGAGTGTGGTACCTTGCCTTGGTCAGCTTTCGACCGGGTCCTAGTCTCCCGTCGGCTTTCGTCCCTGGAGGAAACAGGTAGGTAGGTACTTGCTAGATGTGTGATAATTTACTGTTATGTGACTGCTTGCATGGGGTGAGCAAGTGTCTGTGATCCGTACGGTACGGTGGCACGACTAGGTTGTTGTACAGCCTAAATAATAAATTCAGGCTACAGGGTGGTATTTACGTTTTTATCTTGGAATCTGACTCCCTGTAAAATACGCACGTCTTATTCACCCACACAGTGCCCTCGAAGCAGGCCTTGCACGCCGCATGTGACGCAAAACACGTATTTATTCCTTGGTTTGTTGTGCCTTTGGGAGGGGTTTAGTCTGCTATGCTGTGGATATTTCAAGCGGTTGAAGCGACCAGCCCTCATTCAGCGTTTGGCTCGCGCCTGGATAACAGCTGACCATCAAAGGAATCCCTTCCTCAAAGCCAGTTGGCCGCTCGCGCCCGCGTCGGTTTGGCTTGTGAGTCAGAAATAGCCATCTGCTTTCGGATGTGGGTCACGATATTTCATCATTTGCCGAATATGTACGATTTGATCTGCATGCCTTGTTTTATTTTGCGGCTCCAGGTGAGGGTCATGCGGGGCAAAGAGGCAGTTATTGGTGAAAATTCGTCACACATGTTTTTTATACTGCTTTCACTGCTGCTTGTATTTTGTGGAGAAGGAGCGGACATGATGTCTCAGGGTCAGAGGGCCCGCTGTCTGGGAATACTCAGCTGTAAGTTGAACTTGGACAGGGGCTCAGCGACGATTTGGGGATTCACATGTGAGTTGAAAGAGCTGGAGAGTTGGAACTCCCTGACTAGGTACGTTTCCACGCGCCTGAATTCAACAACACCCATATATCTCAAACATAGCGTACATGCCGTGTAAACGTGATGTCAACGTGGCCTTCACGATAAACTGTTTACAGAGTTGGTCAGCAGTTCCAGTGTTGACGTAACGGTGCTTGCGCTTCGTGACGTTTACTAAACCGAACACCGTGTTTTCCAAAGGGCCTGCGCAATTTCCACCGTTCCATTTAGCACCACACTCAACGGATGGTAGTGGACGCAACGTTACAGAAGTGTGCATGACCGCACTGGTGATATGCCAAGTATATGACCGAACATGACCGCACTGGTGATACGCCAAGTATAGGACCGAACATGACCGCACTGGTGATACGCCACCTGACACGTGACCAGGGGCGCGGTTCCGCAAACTAAGCTACGTCGCTGAGCAAGTAGCACGCACAAACCTACCCTCAAATACGATGAAAACTTTTTTTTGCCCAAATTGACCAACTTCCGCCTGAGAGTTGCGTGGTTGGATTGAGGGGGGAGGGGAGCGCGGCTAAAGGTCATCAACTGAATAGGAAACTATACTGTCATAAAGCTGATAAACTATGTTACCCACAGTACTTGCCGAAGCTTTCTGTTTCAAGGTCAAGGAGTTCGTTCATTTCACTGTCATCTCGGTGATGATTGATGTGCGGGATGACGGGCCAAACCGCAGACCGAAAGAGGACCTTAATCTCAACTTATCAAAATTTGGTAGCTTCAGCGGCCCGACACATCCAGTCGCGCTTTTAATAGGCCTATATCTTTTGACAGACCTGTATCTTTTGATAAGTCTATGTCTTTTCACAGTTCTGTATCCTTGCATTTACGGATCGCGCCACCTCGCAATTTTCGGATAGAAACAGCAAACATTTTTATAAATTGTGCTGCCATGTCTCCTGGGTACTGAATTGCACTGTTTCGTCGAGCAGCGTACTCTTGCAACATTGCAATACTAGTATTCCGCTTCTCCATTCCGTTGAAAACACGCGTTCGAATCAAAGCCAGCTCCGGCGACCAGGTATTAGTTGATTGGCTAACAGTAACGGAGAAGAAATCGGACAGTTGTGCTGACAACGGTGTAGGCCAAATGTGTGCATATTCTCGCGCACGATTGTGCGTGAACCATGAAGCGCCCGTTGCCAGATGTTGTTAAGGATGCGTGCCAGATTTCGGCCACTAGAGCGGACCAGACAGACCAGCGGCAGAGACGTGAGACCAGCTGCGCAATGCAGGCGAACGGACCGTTATCGAACCAGAAAGCGACCTCGGCACTTATCCTCAAAGCCTCCAAATCTGGCCTCAAATAAAGCAAATCACGCTACGGCCTAAGCCGAGACAGATCGAGCTATGATAACTACAAAGACTATCATACCAGATTATAGTGACTTATACACAACAAAGTATTATGGATTTTCCACTGTTTTTGCCTGAGTCACCAAGAGCATACACAAAGCCAGATCAGCTCATCTCGACGATTAATATTACCACGCCTTGACAGGTCACTGCAGGAAGTGCACTCACGCCTGGTAAAGTAATGGGAGGAGGCCATTCCAATGCATTGGTAACTTGTAACCGTAAACAACAAATGTAGTGGGCAACGGACTCCATCCGCTTATATTTAGGTAACAGCTCCATGGTGGTAACAATCACGTCTGATATTCTTTTTTCGTCCCGCGCCATGAAAGCCGTTTCGCCGGTTATCTGCCAGCTGCACGCAGTGCGAAGCCTGCCCTGCCCGCAGACCGGGTATTGCGCCATCTCGTCCAGATCAGCGTATGCGTGAAGCACTGGCCGCACCGCCGGTCATCTTAGAAGGGTCGCGGGCTTGCTGTTGACCAGCGAGATTCCTCTTCTAACTTACCAGACCAGCATTAGTGATTTTTTCAGATTGACGTGTTTAAACATCTCTGTTTTGTACCTCCAGATCCAAAGATGCGCGCGTTTCTCCTGTTCGCCGTGCTGATCGGAGGTTCACTGGCCTGCCAGAACCGCTTGGAGACCCTAGTTCAAGAGGCCAGCGGTGGAGCACCTGGTACGTGCAGATAGCGTTTGCTACTGGCCCTCTGCGCAACGGGTCGGACCGTTCCTCGTGATAGCAGTTTATGCTGGCTTTTCTGCGTACTGCGTGTATCTCCTGTATCAGGCCAAGTCAAGATAAAAAGCGTGTCCTTCTAGTGGGCTATGAGCGTCGCTAAAAGTGAATGGACCTGGAATCTTTCTCAAATGGTTAATGCACGCTGCACGAAATGGTTAACGATGACATTTCACAAAGTGGGAAGACCATAACACCCTTGCCCCCCCCCCCAGACTCCTGTGTAAATTTAGTTATTCCCTCTGATTAACTCGATCCAGCTCCATATGCTACCTACCACAGCAGTGTCTCTTCTCGCTATCCATGGGGGGTGTCAGCAAAACGCGCGCTTCGGGCAACACAACCGTCCCCACTGCGGCAGATCTGTCTACCGACGTACGAGACGAGTGCAACGCGCGGGTGGGCACGTTCAACTCCGTGCATGCGCCCCAGTACAAGAAAGTGATCAACAAGGCTCTGAAACTGGCTCTGCAGTACATGTCGATCGTAAGTGAACCACCCCTGCAGAAGAGGTGAGGGGGCACGTGTGGCCCGTGTTTGAACATCCGAGTGTTCGAAAAATGACGCAGAGAATCGCAAAGAATAGCACGTCAGACAGCAATGCTGAGTTAGCGTCTGACCGCCTCCGGCCGGCTGCACCTGTGTGTGACGAGCGTCCGCATCACCGTTTCCAGTCCAGCCACTTCGGCCGGGACACCAACCACCGACTGGGCTTCCAAAAGCTCTTCAAGAGTGCCTCGGACGAGCGCTTCGAACAGGCCGTGTCGATGATCAAGTACGTGGTCAAGCGCGGAGGCACCATGCACCAAGCCCTCAATGTTAAGGTAAGGGTACCAATCGAGACCGGTATTACATCAGTTTTTGAACCTCGTGCTCATTTGGTGCCGGGATTGTAGCTCAGCACGCCAATCAGACAACACAGTTGCCAACGGCATCGTTCTCGCTTCCTGGGTGTATTCATTTCTGGAAAACACTTAAAATCATATTTGCCCAGAAACAGTAAAGCCAATCACGCATTATTTAAAAGACGCGCCTTTACAAGTCCGCGTGCCGCCTGCGTGACCGTTCTACGGCCTGCGTCGTGTGATGTTCCCGTTCATCTGTCTGGCGTGGGGCGACGAGGCGTCGGCTGCCATGTCCGCCCCCGCCCCGCAGCTGCCGACGACTGGCCTGTACAACCCGCTGCCGCTGCCCTCCCTCGGCCTGGCCCTGACCGAACGCCAAGGACATGTACGAGGAGCAGGCGCGCCTGCACCGCGGCGCCCTCTGCCTGACGGCCACCGCCGGCGGCATCGCTGAAGCCGGCTGCGCGCTCGACGCCGATGTGAGTTCGCAGTCGGACACGGAGCCACACCAGTGCGTCACGGGAACATATGTCACGGCGCTGTACGCAAACTACGGGCAGTATATGTAAGGTGGATTTACCATGGTCAAGACGAGAGGGATACGCGCCATCACCACGTGGTATATCCGAGACCACTGTGACGCTATCTTTCAAGGCACTTGTTTTCACGGAAAGCCTCCGTCTTTCTCTTTTGATTGGCAATCTGTGGTGAGTTCGCGCAACGAATCTGTGCAGAATGACAGAACGCAATTTCGGAACTTGCTTGGAAGGACGACGTAATTTTTAAATACGTACAGGCGTAACTTTCAAGTTCAAACGTAGTTTTCAAGTTCAAACGAGGTCAATGACACATGGGGTCCTGTTCGACTTTACATTGATCCTCGATGACTGCGCTGGACCTGATTCAGAACACGACATTGCTATCATTTTACTTAAAAAAACGCCATTCTAAGTAAATGCAGGTGGTCATTTCCAGCCTTTACCTTCCCAGGCATTAGAGAAGACCTGACCTGAAGGTCACTGACTGATCTGACCTGAATGGGTCACTCACACATCACTGGATCCCGCTGTTGTTTTTGTCTTGGTTCTAGCTCTATTTGGGACCCAGCGGTGAGAGAAGGTCGATCCGACATGAGTGAAAATGGCTCCCGTCTCGCGAGGGTTAACGCAACATAGCTACTGCTGTGGTCGGGTGACTGGTCCTCCGATTTTCGCTGTCCCGAGGACGCGGTTGAACGTTGCAAGCACCGTGATCGTGACCGCATCAGACTGAAGGTCATATTGAGAGCTGAGCGATTGCATGATCTGACTTGACACTTGCATTAACACGCATGTGTTTGACTGCAGGACGATCAGCTCTAGCAGTGCATAACGGGCTCCAATTTGCTCTAGCTGACTGTTTCGCTTTAGTCCCAGTTGCAGCTATGAGTATCTACCTTGGGCTGCTAATGACGGGGAGGTACTTAATTTCCCTACGGGTTCACTAATGCGACTTACTCAAGTTCATAACTTTGGGATGACAGGTAAGCTTTATTCGTCCCACGCCTTCATTCCTCGTACGATAAATGATGAGTTGATGGTGCCTCGTTTGAGCCGATGGATTCATCACAGCGCCGCTCTGACACCAGCCAACCATTGCAGCTGGCTCACCAGGCTCAGGACGCCCTCGAGTCCGAGGTGGGAGAGGGTCAGCGGCCTGGCGAGCAAGGCCAACCTTCTGGCGTCCATGTTCACCAGCGGCGAGCACAGCCTGGCCGAGCACCTGTTCGACCAGCAACTGCTGAAATAGTGCCACAGGTGGCAGCACCATGAGCGCTACGGACACCCGGTGCCAGCGCAGTCGGTAGTAATCACGACAGAAGGTGCGCTGTGAGACAGAAGGTGGCGCGCCGATGCCGGGCGCTTTTGTAATTGCGGCACGCACGTCTTTGCGCTATGTACAGAGTGAAGGAGTCAATACATCTAGTGCACTTACCGGACACGAGTCGTCGTTGATAACACTCATCAAGTTTTGGAATGGGACAGAAATATGCGTGTCACGCCATACGGGTAACCCGAGGGATCCCTCTGCCAGCGTTTAACCAGTCACAGTAGCACTGGAGCGCAAGGATCCAAATTGTGCTGGGGGTCAGTTAGGCAACTCAGAGTCAGAGTCGACTACATCTATTTCAGACAACAGGAGCCAGATCTGGAATCGATCCCAGCCTGTACAACTCAGAGGAAGTCGGAGTCCGAATGACCTCTGTACGGTATCAGTCGGAGTCGGAGCCGACTTGAGTGGGGCCTAAGTCTGTGGAGGAGATAACACGCTTTTGTGCTTCGAAAAAACCCACACAAGACGTTTGTTTTTAGGATGAGGCTGTGAGGTCGCTAACACCAATGATATGTTCGTACATGCATACCTGGTTGAGCGGACGCGCCGATGACTCACTGGACTCAATTCCGACTCCGCGGATGTTTCACTGGACTCGAGTCAGACTCCGCGAAGCTTCACCAAACTCCGCTCCCGACTCCGACCCGCCACAACAATTCAAGGAATCAATTTCAATGACTCGACGGATATTTGCTTGATTTCAGAGCAGGCTCAGACTGTATCCGAAGCTACCGGCAGGCTTCGTCGGTGTGCTTTCAACATCAGTACATTGCTGTGTGCGTGTCAGCAACTTCTGACGCATTGAATACTCACTTTGACAGTACAGCAATAGCACGTCAAGCCAACGTTTTTTTTGCAAGGTTCGCCTTTTTCATCAAGGATCACCTGCATTTAGGACATCCATGCGAGAAGGCACTCACCTATTGCTTTTTGCATGTGTACCTAATCTTCGGTCACCTGCAAACGTGTGGAGATCGCCGTCATAAATAGGCCCACCGTAGCAAGCTGTAATGTACAGCTAACGTAGACAAGAAGCAGCGAGCTAGGCTCCTGACCCTGAACCCATGATGTCCTAAAACATTACGCCAGTGACCACGCTTGGTTCTAATATTATCAGAGTTTCACGCGCCGCTTGCGAGTCACAAACTCATTCAGTTACATAAGTCCCACTCTCACTACATCACTCTTCACATACTGTTACTCTGGCTGAAAACTTCGCATTGAATTAGGAGAACCATGTGGCGAGAATAATTATTCATGCTTCCGACAAAACCTGAACTTTGATCACTGTGAACGCACTAACAGAGCTAGACCTTGGGTCGAAGCTTACAACGAAAGTATTTGTGATCTAAAACGCCATGGACTTACGTATTTCCCTCCCCATTCCCAGAATCAAGTACGATGTTATATGATTACTTGGTTGATCTCCAAGGCAAATTGGAAGTTCTTCAGGGTGCTTGCTTTTAAGAAGGCGTCGTCTTTTAACCGGTTCCCTTTTGAACATGGTCGTTGATGTTCTTCAGAGACCAGATATCATCCCATTATTCCAAGAAATAGCAACATCGGACCAGGTGCATTTTTTACGGACACTTGAAAACTATGGCAGTCGTGACTTACAAGAAACACTAAATATCATCTAATGATATGCCGAACCAATACATCGATACCACACCTGTACGCACGAGGCTCAATACCATTGGCGGGCCAGCACGTACCCTTTCGAAAAAAGGTGCGTTATTGCATTCCAGCTATCGCAATCACGGCCCGGCAACGCTTTACCCGCTTACTCGGTGCAGGGCTGACCAAGCTCAGGCACTTACAACGACCACGGACAAAAGACAAAGCGCATTAAAAAGGTGAGGTAGGGGCGAAAGTGAGAACAAGCGGCACCATGAAAATGAGGCTCCGACGTCAGTTATATCATTTAGCACTATCACTAGGGTCGACCGCGCGGCAAAGGCGACGCAGCGCTGCCACCACCTGACGGGCCGCAGTGACCCGCGGCACTGAAGCGGGGCGTGACGTCACCGGCAGCTGACGCGCGCCGCACGAGCTGTCCGTCTGCGGGCTAGTTGGGCACGCCGTCCTTCCGTGCAGCCTTGAGGGCGTCCACGTACCAGGTGAGCTCGCGCACCAGCTTCTCGGCGTTGCGCTCAATGCGCTCATTCTGCGGCTGCCCGTCGGCCGAGAAGTTCTGCGTCACCGTCGGCACGGTGAACTGGCACGGAATGCTCACCATGCCCAGCTCGCTGAAGTGGGCCCGGGCGAACGCCGCCGCCCGCATCCCGCCGAACTGGCCTACAGTGGGAGCCACAGGTCAGCACACACTGCTGGACAGGTCAGAGGTCAGGTCAGTCAGTGGCGGTCACGGTCACCAGTCACCAGTCCAACCACGCCGCCGAGCCAAGTTGAAGCTACTGGGCGGCGGCTTCGCGGCACGGCATCGGGCAGATTTCGGATACATCATTGAACAGGTCACCACGGGCGACGTGGAAACCTCACCCGCCATTCCGCTTCACAAACATTAGCGAAGACGCAAGCAGTATCCGTCCGCAGGCCAACAAGCCACGCTAAGCCGCTGAAAAGGGTGCAACTAAGGTCCGTGACTGCATCATAAGTCAGCTATATCTCTGTAAACGCCACTACCCGAACCCCGTAAGCTGGTCGTTATTCCGACGAAAAAGATGACCATATGTGGCACGACTCGCTACATGCTCGGGCTCATGTCCAGGCCGGTCACAGGCTACACAGCAGCCAAAGCTCTCACACAAGAGACCACTGCTGGGGCTGCCAACAGACGTGGTTTTCGGCTGGGTACTCTACAACCAAACCAATCCCACATCACACAAGAGCAAGTGACACTCCCACCAGGCGAGCCAGGACGCCGCGCAAGTCGGCAGCAGACCAGCCGCCTAATACGACGCACCCAAGGAGTAGCAGGCCATGCCGACGGGCCGGTGGCGGTAGGAGGCGGGCGGGAAGTGGTCCAGCATGTTGACCAGCGCCGGCGGCAGTGCGCAGTTGTACTCGGGCGTCACCACCACGAAGCCGTCCGCCGCCTTCAGTGTCTCATTGGCATCCCGCAGCCACTCGGGAGCCGCCGAAGCATCCGGCATGAAGTGCAGCGGCTGGCGCAGCATCTCGAACGGCATCTTCAGCGGGTCTGCGGAGCGCGGGCACGCGCAGGGTGAGCCAGCTGTGGCCACGTCGCATGTGACGGATGGAGTCACGTGAGCGGCGGACAGTGCCCTTACTGGATCACAACACTCAACTCGTCAGCAGCTCAGCGACGGTAGCCACTTTCACTGTCGTTAGGTGTCTGAACAAATGCAATTGGTAACGAACGACACAGCGGCTTTCGTTAATGATTCGGGACTGGTGCACAGTGAAAGCGACAGTTGATTCCAGATTGGCAACCGAAAACGATATGCATGCGCCCTCACCCAGCCTGACCAGCACTATGTGAAGCCTTGCTAAGTAACCTACCGGCCCGACT